CATTCACTGATTTACAAGCAGAGGCTGAGAAGCTAAGATGAAAGAAGCTAAGTGGCTGAGAAGCTAAGTAGAGCTACAAACAGACTCACAGTACTACAAAGATAAAAAACTAGAGTTCAGGGTCTCCAAGAAGGAAGGGCTATGGTTTACCTCGAAGGGCCACAGCCTAAGAATAAGCCAGAACTAGAACTAGAACAACGGGCGCAAAGCCAGAAAACCAGTCTTGAATCAGCTCAACCCTGTTTGGATTAAGGTGATCTATTCCTATCTGACTAATTGCTTGCAAAACGTTAAAGAAAATCTTCTCTAGAGAAAGATAACACCATCCAGAGCCTCTACAATTTTCAAACACAAGGCTCAGCTCCAAATAAAAATTACCAGGCACACAACAACACAGGATGAAAAGAAGGTACAGATAATATAAATGGACAAACAGAGTATCTCAGGGGTTGGTGTTATGAGACATGAACTGTAAAATAAGTAATTAATACATTCAAAACAAATGACAAAAACTGAATTTTGGCAGAGAACTGAAATCTATAAAAACAGATATTTCAGAACTATTTTAAAGATTATAATAACTGAAACACAGATGGCTGAACAGCAGATTAGACAGAGATCAAGAAAGGATTAGTGAACTAAACTCTAACTAGTAGAAAATATTCACAAGTAAGTAAAAAGAAAATAAAAAAAGTATGGGGAATACTGAAAAGAGCATACATAGAACATGGTAAAAATGTCAGGGCCACAGGTAATATATGAAGAGGTAACAGCTGAGAAGTTCCTAACACTTATAATAATCTCTACAAAATCTCAAGCAAAATAAATACTAAGAAAACAGCACCAAGGTACATCATAGTACAATTACTGAAAAACAAAGAGAAAATCTTAAAAGCAGCCAAATGAGGAGGAAAGCATATTATCTTCAAAGGAACAACAATCAGATTGTGATTTATGGTTCTGTCTGATTTTTCCCCTGAACTACGTGAGGACAGGGACCCGGTCTTTTTTATTCATTATATTCCAGGCATCAGTCACAGTTGTTAAATATTTGTTGAATAGGAGGCCCTGGGCATGCATAAAGCTGCCTAAAGTTGCTTAAAATTGCAAAGAAAAGAGTTAGGGAAAAAAAAAGAAGTGACTTATTCACACACACACACACACACCCCATTTGTATGCACTTAGCCATTAATGGACTATTTGGGAGTACTGGAGAGGAGCTTGAAAATGAAAACCAAACAAGACTGCCAATCTCTGAGCAGGAATGAGCGCCATTTTCAACCAACACAATCAACCAGAGCATAAATATACTCACCAGCCAAATGACTTGTGCAAATAGTACAACTGCACTCAGCCAGGGAACAGGCAGGAGCAACTGAGGGAGAAAGAAATAAAAACAACCAGAAGATTCTTCCTACTCTAATGGCCTCAGCATTATAAGTAATACCCATCCCATATAATCATTTTTCCAGATAAGTTTGAGTTAGCTAGTCTGGGCATGGCAGTCACTATAAATGCTCAGTACCATTAAGTTTAAGCTAACTGCCCTCTCTCAAATTCAAAGGAGAAAAAAGTGGCTGACTTGATGTCAAATAATCACAGGAAACCAAACTCGGTGGCACTAAAATGTTACTCTCAGACATCTGCTCAATTCCACTGCACAAAGTTGGCAAAGTTGGCTCCTCTGGAAAAAAACTGAGTAAAAAGGTCTCACTAGTTTGATTTTTCCAGAAATCAGATAACAGGCAGTCTTGCATTTGTGTATAAAAGGTTGCTGAGGCTGAACCAAGTCTCAGTGGGCTTGAATGAGCTAGTCAAGACCTTTCCCACATGTAAAATAATGTGAAAAACCTAGGCTGAAAAGCGACCCAGGCTTCAGTGATCCACTGTCTCCACCTGGGCTGGCAAAAAGATAAACCAAATATTGAGAAAGCATCATGCTCCTGAATCTTGGAGAATATTTATGAAAGCGAATAAGGTGAACAAATAAAGTCGATGGCAGAAAAACAATATGCAACCCACTTCCTTGTTGTCCAAGGCAAATCTGTTGCTTAAACAATAACAACATAATCTAATCAGTAAACTTCCCAGCTGCCAAAATTATACAAGCAACTTGCCTATTTAAAATGTCACATTTCCCATCTGATATAAATATTTGCCTTCCGCTCACGTTCCTGAAGTGAAATACAAATTAAGCACAAACTAAAATTCACCTTGGCACAGGCTATTTTTTTTTTTTCCTTTCAAGTGACCCAGACTGTGCATTATGAAAATCGTGACGCGCTGGTGGACTTTTCGGTAATTGGAATAGATCACTGAAGCCTGGGTGGCTTTTCAGCCTAGGTTTTTCACATTATTTTACATGTGGGAAAGGTCTTGACTAGCTCATTCAAGCCCACTGAGACTTGGTTCAGCCTCAGCAACCTTTTATACACAAATGCAAGACTGCCTGTCATCTGATTTCTGGAAAAATCAACTAGTGAGACATTTTTACTCAGTTTTTTAAATAAAGAAGTAGACCTAGTAATAAAAAATGTATAACCTTAAAAATGTTTAAAGAAAACAATGTGAAAGTAATGGAAAAGGTAAAAAGGCTAATTTAAAAGACTGACATAATAAGAATCATATATAAGGTTTTAGTAAGAGCTCACTCAAGCAATTCTTTGACTATGTCAGTTTATATCAGTATACAAAACCTTCTCATTACAGGCAGGAAGCACAAGATTTAAACCATCACAAAAATGTCCAACACACGTACTTTTGTGTCCTCCTATAAGATTAATTTTCAATGCAAGTGTACTACATGCAGACTAGAACCATTTGTCTCCAATGTCATCCACAGACCACCAGTATCAGAATCGTCTGGGATACTGGTTAAAAAAGCAGATCCCTACATACCACCAAAGCCCATCTCAATTAGACTCTCTCTAGGGCATAGGACTCAGGAGTCTGCATTTTTAACAAGCACCCCCTCCCCAACAGTGACACCAAAAAGCAATGTGCTAGGCCGGCAAATACAGCTTCCTGACAAGACCTCAGCACTCCCTTCTAATCCAGTCGGAGCCCCTAAGCTGCTCTTACATAGAAATCCAGAGATGCCTAGGGTATTAAAGTTAGAAAACCTCCCCCTGGAGGATGTGATTCCTTTAGCTCTCTCATCTCACTGGAGCCAAATAAGTTAACTGAAAGTCTACTGGTTAATAGCGTGCTTGGGAAACAATCCCCGCAATGGAGTAGTGTGGATTTTTCAGAGTAGATTAAAAATATTAATTGCTTCCAGTTATCAAAGCCTCTCAAATTCAAGCTGTCAGAGAATTCAGAACAAGGGCTTCTACAACCAATTCATAGATAGTCTCCACCTCCAAATCAACTGCACCCAGTCACCGATTATAAGATCTACTGCCAACAATAATGGCCATAATTCAAGTGTTTTTGTTTGTTTATTGCTGTAGTTTAAATGAAGTTTACATTTCAAGTTAGTCTCCCATACAAAAATTTATACATACATTGTTATGTGACCCTAACTGCTCTCCCCATACTGTGACAGCACACTCCACCCGATTCCCCACGTCCATTCAACCAGCTCCTAACCCTCTCTGCCTTCCCATCTCACCTCCAGACAGAAGCTGCCCGTTTAGTCTCTTGTATCTCCTTGAGCTAACAGGCACACTCCTCACGAGTATCATTTTATGTCCCACAGTTCAGTCCAATCCCTGTCTGAAGAGTCAGCCTCGGAAATTTTCTTAGTTCTGGGCTGATAAGAGAATCCAGGGGCCATGCTTTCCAGGGTTCCTCCAGTCTCATTCAGACCATTAAGTCTGGTCTTCTTACTAGAATTTGAGTTCTGTACCCCACCTTTCTCCTGATCCATCAGGGACTCTGTCTTGCGTTCCTTGTCAGGGTGGTCATTGGTGGTAGCCGGGCACCATCTCTCTCTTCTGGTCTCCGGCTGATGAAGTCTCTGGTTTATGTGGCCCTTTCTGTCTCTTGGGCTAATACCTTCCTTGAGCACAATTCAAGTTTATGACGACCTAAAGACTGTGAACAACACATATCACACCCCTGGAAAACCGTCCCTTCCCTAGTATTTAACATTGATTTTGAGATATTCTTGCATATTAAATCAGCAATGAGAGTTTTCAAAACAAATAACCACAATTTGAACATGCTTCAAAGGTCTTTTGAGCAAGGAAGGATACCTATGCTTACACAGAAGTTTTAGCCAGGAAACAAGCATCATAAACATCGACAGACTATCGTTAAGAAGCCTCCTCCAGTCCAGACCATGAGGAAAAATACTCCAGAAGGAACATTTATAACATAACTTTAGCATTAAGTGTTTTGTTTTACATATTTAATAAGTATTTCTAAAAGCAAAAATTTGGATTTTATTTTCTTTAGTTTTGTGATCAATTCTGATATTTTTATGACTTCTATGGTCAATTGATAATTTATGAATCCCTCAAAAACAATCTCAATTTACCACACATGCATCTTAGAAAGAAGGGTTTGACAAACCATGGCGCTACTTGAGATAGCCAAGAATCAATCAAGTGGTAAGTTGGAGAGGGGCCACCTTTATTTCATGTAAGACCAAAGGCTTTACAATATCAACAGCTAAAATCTTCTTTATTGAAAAAGAAGTTTCACAACTCCAGTTTTCCCTATCTCAGAGGAGATAGAAGTACCAGTACCAGCTGGTGTTGAGTTGATTCTTAGTGATGGTGAGCCCATGTGTGTCAGAGTAGCACTGTCCTCCAAAGAGTTCTCAATGGCTGTTTTTTTGGAATTAGGTCACCAGGCCTTTCTTCCAAGATGCCTCTGGGTAAACCTGAAACTCCAACCTTTTGGTCAGCAATCAAGCACATTAACCATTTGCAAAACCCAGGAAAAGGTAGAGGTAGGGGTTTCTGAAAAAAAAAAAGAAAAACTGTCTAAAGCCTTATTTGTAGTTTCTAGAACGAGGGCAAGAGGTATAGAAAGAAAAATAGAAGGCATACCCTTGCTCATTTGGGGCTTAATATCTTCATCCATGTCCAGATCTTCTAAATCTAGGAAATTGTCTACCTAGAAAAAGATTAACAATATTTTTATGCATATTAGACCTAAAGGAAAAATGCAATTAAGAGTCAATGATCCACTTCCACAACACTCAGCTGAGCAGCTGAATCTACTTATCTCATTATCTTTGAGTCCCAGCAAAAGGGCTTTGTGTTCACTGTGCTCTCCTAGAGACATCTGAAAGCAGCAGTAAATTTGGAAATTGGCCTGGATTTTGTAGGCACCATAGTAAGATCTCTATACTCAAAGGGAAAAAAAAGTTTGGAGATTTTTTGAAAAGGGATTTTGTTCCAGATTCTATCCCAGAATACATATTACCATCATGACAGCACAAAATGATGTTCCTGTTTTTTTGCTTTCGTTTTACTTACGTTCTCAAGCAAACAGTAAAGTGAGTCTATTATCACAACAGTGTGCTTTCTTATTACACTCGGAAGAGCCAGAGAGAAGGAACCAAAGAAAGCAGGAGAGGGAAGTTCATTCAAAACAAAATCATCCTGCCCCAGGTAAATCGCAAGAGAGGTGAGGAGAGCAAAAAATCAAGTGTTCTCTCTTTCGAGCCAATAAAACTGAAAATTACTTCAAAGGTAAAAATCAAAGCAAATGACCTTTACAGACAAAATAGCAGTATTTCAATGAAACACTATTCCACGTGGAACAGTGCTTTCCACAGCAAGCTGACAATGAGACATTTTAGTTTAACAAAATGGTAACATTTCAAACGTTAACTAATCCATCTCAGGCGAATATCAAACAGTGTAAATAAGAAAATGATTTCTCTGCTGGTAAGAATGAGACCCAGTGGAGTAAAGGCATAATGTCACACACCTTTTATTTCCATGACCTAAAACACGTGCACGACAAAATATCTTACAAAGTTAGATTTCATAATTGGAATTCAAAAGACATCTCCCAACTTGGTAAGTCAGACCAGGGCTATTACGTAGCACTTAAAGGTGCTAGCTTCCATTGTTTTTACATACATAACTGTCCTTATTTCTTGGCATGTAACAGTAATGCATTTAGCTTACATGTGATAGTTTCAGTACTAAAACTTGAGGATCTGTTGTACTCTTGTTTCTCTTAATGGTATATGCTAAGGCGAACTAAAGTCATGTTCTCCTATCAAAGCACTCCTCCCATTTGTTAAGCTTTGAGGAAAAAACATCCAGAATTCAGCCAAGCAAGGATAGTTTAAGGGTCTCAGACACCAATTAAAAAAAAAAAAAAAACCTGCTGAATTCTCCAACTTTGTTTGAGAGACAGCAAACGAGTCCTGTTTTTCTGCTGCGGAAGAAAACCGAATCATGCCTTACCTTCACCTTTCCTGCCCGATTCAGATCACCTTGAAAAGAGCTGCCAACTTTTTGGCCTTCGTCCATCATGATCTGAAAATACAGTGAAAATATATCGATGGCAAAATGAAACAACCAAAAATAAAGTAGCCGATTTTGTAGCCCTTCAGATGATAAAATTCCCCTTCCGTTTTTGGTTAATTAGCTACCGGTGATGGACCGGATTCACTAAGCCACAGCAGTGGTCAGGGAACAGGTTTCAAGAGGTCTGACTTCTACTTCCGTCCTCTAGACTCATCGCAGGATAACCCAGAGTAGACTATGTAACCTCAGTTTTCTCATGTGTAAAACAGGATCACTCCCTACCTCATTACCCCACCTCCCAACCCAGCCCACCTCAATGAAGCCCTGAAGAACAAATTTTCAAGTTACTAGAAAACAATGCCATTCAACACTTCCTTGCCTCTTACATGCTGGTCAAAGACTTAATATGTAATATAATCTCAATGGCTAATGATTGCCAGTAGGAAAAAAATAAAAAAAGTTCATGGCTCACAATCATCTCAGTAGCAGAAAGGTCTGGAAATAAAGAATTATGGACCTCTGCTATATATAAACACATTTCTAACAGAGATGTGTTCCCTTGTATAAAATCACAATATCATAAACAATTCCTTTCACAATATCACAAGGAAGATATGATGAGGCAGAAAGCAGAAACTCAAATGGCTAAGAAAATAGAGAAGCTCCCACTAGGACTCCTTGATAATTAAAAACCACAGCTAAAGAGGCTTGAGGATTAGGAAGAGAGCACCCAACATTTATTGACCAAATCTTGGAAAAACCAGGATAATAGATTCTACTTGAAATCTAAGAGATGAATCTAGGACAGGTAAAAGAAAGTTCCACTTTACACAGAGCATTGTACAAAAGAACTCTTCTATCCCAAACAGAGGATAAATTAAAAGAAAGAAGTAATTTCAAGAATAATTTATAGATAGCAGATACTTAAGAGGCTTTTAATGAAAACTGGAGATTAATCAAGTCGTGGTCTATAAAAATGACACGGCAGCAGCTGACCTCTAACTTCACAAGGGAGAAGGAGAATCAAGATCAATAGCCCAAGGGTGGTTCCTATGAGATGGAGGTCAGACATGCCTCCTCTCTCCAACATTTTTACCAATTCTGACACCAAGCCATCCCTCCCATAGCACTCTCTACTTCTCTCTTGGGTTTGATAATTCATTGCAATGGCCGCACAAAACTCACAGACAATAGTCACGATTATTGGGTTTATTAGGGAAATACCAGGTTACAATTCAGGATCAGAAAGGACTCAGGATACAGTTCTTTGGTCAGGACAGTTTCTCGGCCGTGCCCACAGGCAGGCCTCTCCCTGGTCCTCAGCCTCTCAGCCCTTGGCCCCCTTGGGCTGGGCTGGCTCTGCCCTGCTTGGGCAAGTGTTACAAAGCTCTTTAGCTCTATGGATAAGTGCCCAGAGGCACCTCACTCTGCCAGTGAGCCTCGGCCCAAAGACTCTCAGCTCTCTCGTTCCACGGGTCATCAAGCCTAGCTCCGTCAAGTGCCTGGAGCCACCCTACTCCTCCAGCAAGCCTCCTGACCAAAGGTGCTCAGCTTGCCAAGTGTCTAGAGCCACCACACTCTCCAGCAAGCCTCCTGACCAAAGGCACTCAGCTTTCTCACTCCTTGGGCCAAGAAGCCCACCGCGCCATCTCCTGCTGGTCTCCTGGTCCTGCTGCCTCTGCTGCCGCTATTTCTCTGCCACTGCTTCTTTCCATCTCTTGCCATCTCTGGTGTTACAGCTGTCTCCTGGGTTTAGGAGGTTCCCAGCGCAGGGACCCTGGGCCCAAAGGATGAGCCCCACTCTAGTCTCTTCTTTCTTGATGGCAATGAGGTTCCCCCGTTTTGAAATTGGCTCTTTTAAGCATAGTGGGATGGCAAAACTGACCAATCCCCTCGTTAGAGTTCCGTATACTTTATTTGCATGATCTCACTCTCACAAGGGTGCCATACACCTTATTTGTATTATTAGCAAGCTATCCAATCCCCTTGGTGGGCCACAAGCACCCTATTTACATAGTCCCACCCAATCTTTTGGTGGGAGTTACAAGACTATGGCTAGAAGGCCATATAAAGTAATTCACTCCACTGCATGGTCATAAACATTGGCTGTTGAAATAATGAAATATAATAACGATTTTCAATAAAGTTTCCCAATGACACTCCTCCTAGAATTAGCAGTCTGAGTTACTGCTCCAATAACTGCCCAGTATTTCTTATGTTCTTATGAACCTTCTTTTTTAAAACTGATGAAAGATACTTCTTTTTTCTCATACTGTTTGTACAAATTTGCTGTCTTATTACCTGTTCTTCTTCCGAACATTGTGATAAAGTACGAAGAAAGATGGTTTTATTTCTAAGATGGTGGTCATTTGGTTCCATTTTATGAGCAAATTTTACTGAGGTAAATACGTTCTCTAAAGAATCGGTTCCAAACGCTCCCTTTTTGGTCCCATTATCCTCTGAAATGAGAAGTTACATAATGTTAGAAAATATTTACCACACCCATACTGGTTTACTTTATTAAGAACCTTCCTTCCAAAAAATGAATACCTTTCAAAGAACTCTAATGCTTGAGGTATTGCACACTCTTAACTTTACAAAATTATTTCTATAAAACTATTTCATTCAACATTCAACAAATATTTATGGAGTGCCTACTATGTACCAAGCACTGTTCTCAGCCATTGTTATAAAGTTAATAAAGTACAATATTTGCAAGACTCTTTGACATTTTCAAGAGAAAATTATTACCTATCCCAATTTTTTCCTAATTTGAGGGTTTTTTTTTTTTCCTTCCTTATATGGAATGTATAGATGACTTTAGAAAAGTCCCAAGAGACAAAAAAAAAAGTAAAATTTGAAAATCACTTATAATCCTACAAGCCAGAAACGCCACAACAAATTTTTTCAGTAGCTATCTTTCTATTCTATTTTTTATTCATCCATGTACTTCTAAAAATCAAAATAGAATCATATTGTACATATTGTATTATACCTCAACTTGACACTTAGTAATATGGTTTTATTATAAAATTATACAATATAACTTTCCATGTTATTGAATATTCTTCTACACCATTTTAATGGTTATAGAGAATTCTACTGTAAAAATATGATATAGTTTATTTAACTAATGTCTTACTCATGCTTGTTTAAAACTATAAATAATGAACACCTTCACACTAAATCTGTGCACATTCATGATTATCTCCTTAGGATAAGGAAAGAGTCTAAGATTAAATTCTAAATTAAAAGACTGAGAAAATTATATCATGATGTCATTAACAGAAACGTAGGGGAAAACAAAATGGAATAAGTTTGGGGATGCCTGATGAATTGAGTTTTGGCCATGCTGCATTTGAGGTATCAGGGGAAATCCTGGTGGAAATGTCCCGGGGACAGACATCACAGACATCAGAGCTATTAAGTGTAGAGATCCGGTAGTCAATCACCCTGGGGTGATGGTTTAAGCCATAAAGTTATTTTTAATAGTTGTTGTTTTTAGTTGCTCTCAGCCATCAAGTCAATTCCAACTCATGGCAATCACGTGTGTTATACAGCAGAACTGTTCCACAGAGTTTTCTTGGCTGTAATCTTAACGGAAGCGTAATGCCACGCTTTTGCTTCTGCAGTACTGTTAGGTGGGTTAAAACCACCAACCTTTAGGTTAGCAGTAGTAATATTAAAATTAGTAATACGGGTTAACATTTATTTGGTGTCAGACACTTTTATGAGCATCTCATGAATCATTGCATTTAAGCCTAACAAACCTAGAGGTAGCTACTGTTACCATTCCCCACTTTGTTAGTGTGTGCTATCAAGTCAATTTTTGACTCATAGTGACCCTATATGACAGAGTAGAATTACCCCATAGGATTTCCTAGGCTATAATCTTTACAGGAGCAGATCACCAGGTCTTTTCTCCCAAGGAGTGACTGGTAGGTTCAAACCACCAGCCTTTCCGTTAGCAGCCAAGAACTTAACCATTGACCCACCAGGGTTCCTTCATCCGCACTTTATAGATGAGGAAACAAAGGCCCACAGAGAGATTAAGTAACTTGCTCAAGCTTACACAGCTAGTAAACGGCAGAGCAGAAATCTGAACCCAGGCCTATCTGACTCTAGAACCCATGTTCCTACCCAGTGTGCTATGCCACCTAAAATAGTATGACAAATGAAAGGAGAGGGGCCTTAGAGAAGCAAGGAAAAGAAGAAAAAAAGCCCAGAAGGGAGACAAAGAAGAAAAGCTTACAACAGTACAAGGAGAAAGAACAAGAGTACAGAGTACATTCCAAAACTACAACTCGCTTGCTGCAAATGACAACAGCAAGAGCACACAATGTCAGTGATCACTAGAAGAGTGATGTTTTCATTGTTAGGTACCACTGAGTCGACCTCAATTCACAGCAACCCCATGTGGCACAACGGTTAAGCATTTGGCTGCTAACCAAAAGGTTGGTGGTTCGCACCCACCCAGTGGCTCCTCAGAACAAAGACCTGCTAATCTGCCTCCGTAAAGATTACAGCCAAGAAAATCCTACAGAGCAGCTCTACTCTGTCATATGGGGTCCTTATGAGAAGAATGATAAAGGGATTTAAAACAGGCCAAGTGGCAGAAAGCAAGCCACTGCTGAGTCTCCAAAAGTTCAAAGATGATTTCTCTTCGCTACCAGTTGTATCGCCTAATGACAAATCTTGTCGTAGGAGAATGATTTACAAAGGATATGTTCCAAGCCCAACTTTGTTCCTTTCCTAGTCACTGACTGGGGTTTGCCACGTGTCTTCTAAATCCTAACACTGATTAATGCATAATCAAATTAAGTTGCTACATTTTTTAAAGCATAGCTATTTCTTGCCTAAAGTTGTCCTTTCTCAGCAGCTTTCTAGCATTAAAAAGAAAATAATTAAAATAAAATATTTGCCATTTAAATGCAAGGGTCACATGACATCTGGCCATGGTGAACACGGTTAAAGTTTCCTGAGCAGCTGGAAACTGCAAGAATACTGTATCTATTTTAACAAATTCAGCCAAGTCTCCTCCTAATTTATCAGGAGGAAACTACCTATTGATTGATTTGGAGGAATCTTAATTCTACCAATGATGGGATATTCAGAAGCAAACAAGGGCTTCTGGCTGGACTTGTACCAGGCTGTGATCACTAGAGCAAGATCCTCATCGATTTTGATGCCATGCAATTGGCAGGTCAAGAGAAACAAACATGGCTGCTTTTCTGGGTTAGGCTATCTCATAATCCCTTCAGTTAGTTACTTGTCTACGGAGTCTAACAGATAAAACAATACTTTTCATGGTCGAGTATAGTAAGGGATGGAACAGGGTTCCCAGCTTGTTCCATTCTGTGCCTGACCCTGACTTGTAGGAACGTCTATGGGACATTAACACAGAAATATTGCTGGGGACCAATCGTAGACTAACCAAAATCAAAAAACCAACTGCCATCGAGTTGATTCCAACTCATGGCAACCCCACATGTTACAGAGTAGAAATGTGCTCCACAGGGTTTTCATGTAGTAGGGTAACCTAGTCTATATGTTATTAACTCCCTAGGCCGCAGAGGTAAAACACAAATATTATATACATCACTTTCTTTTTAAAGGAGTGATATCCATAAATAAGACAAGCTCAGGCCAGCTCTCTACTACTGCCTTCTGCACTAGGATCAGTTACTCCTAACTAGCTCCTACTGGGAGAGGTAGGCCCTGCCTTCTGTCTCAATAAATCCCTAGGGGAAATTCTTGATCTCTCAAGCTCTCCAGTCACCTCCTCCTTTTCCATGGAAGCCATCTCTATCCTTTGCTGTTACTACCACTTGCAACCTGTAACTTCAATTTCCTCTTCTCCCTTGGAAAATCCACGGCAAAAACAATGCATGTGTTCAATAAATCTCATTTCATTTCCTCCTCTCGGGAATAGCAAAGGACTCTATTTCCAGCCTCTCCTGCAAATTGGGTTGAGGCCCAAGTTCAGGCCAACGGACACAAGTAATAAATGCTACTTCAGGGTCTATCAACAAAACTCCCTGCACAGGTATCTCTCTCTCTGCCTCGTCCAGATCAACCCTGGAGGCCAAATGTGTAAGAGGGCAACGTCACAAGATGACTGGATCTTGGATCCCTCTAAGTCACCACTTGGAAAGCTGCAACCCAGGAGAGTTGCCCCATCTACTAAGAATGTGGCAGGGACAAGAAATAAACTTCTACTGGCTAAGCCCCTGATATTTCAGGGCTTGTTAACAGGGAATAGCCCAGCTTATCCTACTACAGAATGCAATTTCTAAATTTCTCCCACCACACCCTGTCCTGTTGCAAATAAATGGCCCAGCTGAGACTTAAGTGTTTGGTTTTTCCTGGCACTTAATTATTACTAAGAAAGAACAAAAATGTATAAAGGATGCCTCCTAATGTTGTTTTCTTTTCTTTTCATTAGACTAGAGGTTTTCCAACTTTATCCATCAGTATAAACCTTTTGTAAATGAAATTTTACACCAACCCCAATATAAAAACAGATAAAAGCTCATTTTTTTCACTTGCTTCACTCTCCATTTCCCACCACACACCTTTGGCAATAACTATACCAAACAATCTCTGTTCCCCAAGGAGAAAATATTCAGCTACATTTCAAGGAAAGTGAGACTTAGATGGTTTTGTATGTTTCCTCGCAGGAGCTTGCTCCCCATATGTATCACCAGTCTCAAACTGTACCAGTCAACCTCTTTCCTTCTCTCTGAGTTCCATCTGCACTGGCTGTCTCTCAATTCCTCCCACCATTTGCCTCTGGGTCTCTTTTTTCAGATTTGCTTCTACGTGCTCCTTGATGAGGTCAGTTTCCCTACTGCACGTCTTATGTACCATGTAGCTCTCCTTCATTGCACTTAATACAGATATATACTTGTATAATCCCCTAATTTTTTCTCCTTCACAAGACTCCAAGCCACATGAAGGCAGGGACCATGTCCTTTTCTCTCCACTATATACATTCAATATCTAGTGCATATTGTCAACCAGATATTTGAATGAATGAAGACAGAAACTCCAGTGTGGAGCACCAGCCTTGGCTACCGGGGGCAGAAGGCACAAAGGGCTGGGTAAGGTGGGTTGCTAAGAATGCTGCTGGGGTAACCAGCACTATGAAGCATCAGGTGAATGAGAAAGAAATGGTCTTAGAGTTTAGCCTCCTAACTTCTTCCTCTATTCCAGCCACAAAAATGTCCTGAATCAGTCTCAGAGCAAATATAAGCAGCAGTAGCAGGGTGGAGCAAGATAGGCATGGAGATTCTTAGAAACATAAGGAGTTACATGAGAAACCAAAGGGTTCCTCAAACTTCATCAAAGTTAGAAGGGAAGAAGACTTGTGGCTACCCGCCTCTGCTCACTGCACTGTGAAATAGTTTCAGTTCCCCCTGTTAATCCTTTCAGTCTTGATGTTGTTGTTGTTGTTAGT